CCGCCGCCGCGCCAGCAGGTCCTAATGCCTGTCACTTCCCAGGACGCTGGCAGCAGCAGCCCGGAGCCCCCGAGCCCTCGGCAGGTTTTCCTGTCCTGCCCAGCGATCTGATTGGATAAAGTGGGGGCTCGACGGCGGCCGACGTGGGACAGTGTGTCTGTGGCAGGGGTCTCGGAAACCATGGGTTATTGCAGTGGCAGGTGCACGCTTATCTTTATCTGTGGCATGCAACTGGTAAGTGACACTTGGGTCCTCTTATTTTGCTATGTGGCTTTGAGAGAGTGGGTAGAGAAGTGCACTGAAGGGTCTGCCTTTGAATAGAATGGAAGAAAAATATAAAAGGTGATGATTTGTTGTCTATATTTAAAATGAGATCAGGGAGGCACAATTGTGGGGTACAGGAGAGGTAAACCTTTCCACACCCACCTATTTCTCTTCCTCTGAAGACAGTTTGGCAGGTGCGGGTTAAACTTGTCTTTAATTTCTTTAAGCAAAGCAATATGTACCCCGTGTTCCTTTATGTTTTGCATTCCTACTATGTAACGTGATTGTCACATACAATTTACTAGACAGGTGTTAAAATAGAGAAATATAGATTTGAAAAAAAACTTTTCTTTCATAAACTAATTATTTCTTTATTAATGTGTTATTTTTCAAGGAATATATTATTATAAATATAGTGCTCTGATAAATCACTGTGTAAGCAGATGGTGTCCTTACAGCAGTCTGGTTTAGAAGCAACGTTGACTTTTAAAAGTATGTAGATTGAAGAGAATACTTTGATGAACTCAGCAACACTACCGCTGTGGACAGAACCGGTAGCCTTTAAGTCATACTCATTACAAATAATTCTGAAGAAAAATAATCTATCTTACATTATGTATGTGATTGTTACTTAAATAATACCGTTGCCTGATCCCATAGCTTGAAGACTTACATGTACTTTTTGAGGAATGTTGTTGCAAAGAGGCAGGGAACCAATAATGGAAAATGTCATGTCTCTGAATTTAAATGCCCTACCGGCTATAGGAGGGACTAAGAATAGTTTAAAGGTGAAAAATATACCATCCTAAGTGGTGAATTTGAAATAGGATGTACTTGCTCACTCATGTTAGTAAAAAGCTTTCCTTGGAAAATATAAGTTTAATTTGAATAGCTACCCATATTTCTAACAATTGTCTCATAAAGACTAAAAGGACTTCAAGACTAAGGGGATTTCTGAGAGCTCAATCAGCGAAGTGTTCTAAAGAACAAGGGTATACTAAGGAAATGATAGAATTCTTTTAAGTGTTCTTTATTGTTTACAAGTTGTCATGAAGCCTACGAGTGGTTGTTGTTTTATTTAATACAAGCTGAAGCAGTGCTTTTCATTGCATATTTTCGCTGGATGTTTTTCTTTCCCAGGAAAGTATATTTTGATCTCTGAATTACTTAAGCACTTGGTTGTAAGAAAAAGATGGAACTATAAGGGCATTTTTAAGAATGCAGTATTTTCTCTGGTGTGCAAAATGTTTATTTTCCTGTACCATATATTCACTTAAGTTTTTCAATAGAGAACTTTTGCTGTTGATAATAAACTAATAAGAACAATTGAAGAGTTTACTTTGCTAAACCACCAGTTAGGTCAAATATGCCCAATTGTATAAACTCTTTTCAAAACATTCTTATTTTCGTATATGATTCAGAAAAGAATTCATATGCTGATTCACTGTGCAAAAGCATAAAACTGTGAGGATGAGTGGGTAAGAGAATTCTTTATGTCTTCATTTAAAATTTTTTTTATAACTTTTAACCATTAAACATAGTATGGCTTTGTTGTTCGCAATATATGCACTAGATATATGTGGGATTTTTGTGTGGTGAATACAGACTCCCCAAGAACTTAAACAATTTTAGAAATATATAGACAGACAAATGGAGAAACTAAATATAAAGTAGCATGACAGGAAGATAGGTTTCTGTGTGTATATGCACACATGCATGCCTGCAGCCATGTGTTGGAGAGGTTCCTCCTGAGTTATGAATCAGAAATTCTGAATTAAAGATAAGTTCAGGTTTCTAACAATCATATACATAGCTCTGCTATAGAGGAGTAGTTAATCTAAGCAAGTCTGTACACTTGAATCTTAAATAGTATTTTATGTTCTGTAAGACTCATGTGATTTTACCATTCAGATGTTATGTGCCACCAGGCTAATGTAATTAGCAGCCATATTAATGCAGACCCAGAACAAGAAACAAAGGATGAAGAATATCCAGTTAGTTTAATAGCTTGAAACCATTACTTTTAAAGGACCCCAAAGATTCTTAGTAATGATTGCTTCTTAGAAACACAGTATTTAATTTTGAAATAATATAATTATTTTGCAAATTAATAGTTGCAAATTACTACACATGCATTTCTCTGGTTCTTGGTAGATTTTAATAAACTTTTTGTATCTTTGAGCTGTTATGAAAAGAGGTTCTTTTGTAAGTAGCCAGGTTTCCAGAGTAAGTTATAGCTCATGTACTATTGATTGACACGAAAGTTCAACCAGTTTGTTTACTTCTGAAGTAAGTAGCATATGTTCTTAACCATGTGATCCTGTTTTTTTTTTTTTTAATAGTATCTGGACAGATTTACTAAAATATATTGAAGCCCAAGAGTCTAATATAGAAACTTTTAAACTGTGTTTATTAGGTAATTTATTTCATTTCTGGAAACATGTTTTTCCCACTGGTAGTATAGTATTTGTGTTTTCATTATACCTAAAGGAAAATTTAGTTCTACATGAACATGCAGCTAAACTCTATAGAGGATGAGGAACTTTTCTTATAGTGGCGGTAGAACCTCACTCATCAGGTTATTATCAGAACAGACACAGTGTTTTGATCTTTTTGCAACTGAGAGATAGAGACAAAAATATTCCAGAGAATTTTACCTGTCAGGATTTGGCCTTTGTTTTTAATTATGGTAAATGTTACTATACATGTGGATAGACTCTTTAATAATTTTTTTAAGAAAAAAAATGTAACATTCATATTATAGATGCAACACATAATTTCCATTTCCTGAAAAAGAGTCTGTCTCTATGTATCATAAATTAAAATCAGTGAGCCTATATAGTTACTCCAACTTCAGATTTTAGGGCGGTCCCTGTGAAGAAGGTATGATCTCTAGAATGTATTTGCTCCATGTTCAGAGTCCACAGTCTAAGCTCATAATCTCAAGAAGGTAATTTGCTTTTTATCACTTCTGTCCTAATGCTCAGAAAGTGAAGATTTTAGATAGCAGTAAAAACGCTGCAATCACAGTATGGTGGTAGTAGCACAGGGCAAGTACAATTTTACTTGTTATTTACAACTTACAGTAGCTTGTAACAGAGCTTGGACATTTTCTTTCCATGCCTGCTCAAATCAGATTACTTTATATACATATTGAAAAAGTTACTCAGATATTTCTCAGTGAAAAATCACTCAGCTTTAATATGGAAGAACATACTTATTTTAGTTGAACAGGCAGCTTTGTTTCCAAGTAAGGGAATTCAAAACCACCCACATTTTGTATGGCAGGCTCCTATATGGCACAAAGTGTATATGCCATAAGCTATTGAAAGAAAATCTAGTTTACACTGAGCAGATTAACTTGAAAAATGCCGTTCTTGTCATGTGCTCTGTGAAATAGTGGTAACGTTCAGAAGGTGCAACTAACAATTGGTTAGTTCACAAGTGTGCAGCTGTGTGAAGAAGCACATTTGAAACTTAATTAAAAATGATAGTTACTTTCTATTACACAGTTACTAAGCATTATCAGGACACACTTATTAGAAAAAAGGCCATGAATGCATAGATGCACTAAATAAAACAATTTAGTCTAATTTTGGAGTATTTCAGTCTTGTCAATTATACTTTTGTACAGTATTCATCATTCCATTCTCTTTGGTTAAATTTTTAGCAAATAAAGTTTATTGACATAAAGTGACCTGGAAAGTGCAGGTAGAATCTTAGGATTTTCCAAGGATATTTTTGTCAACTTTGAGAGTTCTTCAAACTTGTAGAGCTTTACCTGCTATAAACTCTCCCTCAGAGAATTTAAAATTTTCAGATTCTAATGCTTTTGATAACAAAATTTCAAGGTTGTTAACTTATTTGGCTCATAAAAATACCAGACTTTTCCATATATTTCAGAAACTTGTTGAAATATGCTGTTTGGTTAATTATAAAGAACCATAACTTTATTGTTTTTCAGTGCTTTCTACTTTTGCACCACAATCCCCAATATCATAGTCAGTGAATGAATGTCATAAATTAATTCTTATATTAACATATTTTTCATAATAATTCAGCACTGCACTGCTCTATTGTTTCCAAGAGAGATGTAGAAACACATTCCATTGTTTAGCCTTCTTTCTTGGTTCACAAATCAAGTGGCAGCTTCTTTTTAATACACCCAATGTTTCAACGTTCTGCAGTCTGTGCAGAGTTGTTCTGTTACTTTTTCAAATAAAGGTTTGGGTTGGGCAGTATCCCTGGCACAAAATGCCAGAGTCATCCCTGGTATGAGACCCAGATGGGGCACTGGCCCAGAATTGTAAATGGACATAGCCATTTCCTTTTTCTTCTGTCACTGCCTTACTTTAGGATCAAATTCTCGTTTCAGTCAAGAATTTCAGAATGGAAGCTGGGAACTCCTTAAAGTTGGAGTCTTCTATTTCTAGGTCTGTCTCTTTTTTGTCTATATGCTTGACAAAAATAAATTCTGAGAAATAAACATGTTTTATCACTTTTATGTTTCTTCTTGAAATAAAATTATGAATATTATCAATTGCACTATTTCTATCTACTGTTAATGGCTAAATTTTCAAAAGCTGTGCTTTAGTTATGTCATTCAGAATTTCAGTCATCTCAATATAACTTTTCTAAATGCAGCTTTGAAATTAATAATACTAATAATGGAAATCACCCTAGATGCATGTCTTAGACACTTAAGTGTCAGAAGTCAAACACTTGCACAGAAGAAATATTTATCTTCTGTTTTCATCAGTATAGGGAACTTTTCCAATGTTGGTTCCCTTTTCCCACAGAAATTTGATTGCTGCTTATTTTCAATCTTATAAAATACATAGACCAACAAGATGCAATGTGTGCAGATTTCCTTCCCCAACCTCTCATTGTTAATGGAAGCAAGTGCAGCATTTATACCTTGATGATATTTACAGAGTATAAATAAAAGTGTATGGAAGATTTTTTCCTAC